GCCCATGAACAAAGTGTTTATACTGTAGAGCCAGGAAAGATCCATGTCAGGACATTTCAGGTACTACTAAATGAAGGATTTGTTAGCTTTTTGGCTGTGTAGTGGAAAGGAATCCTGTTAAGGTTTGGCTTGTTTTCATGTTCTGTATTACACTGTACATGTTTGCAGGGGACAGTCAAGCAGATCTTGCAGTTTTCAGAGGCAGAGGGGGACCCCATTTTGTTAGATGTGTGTGGAAATTTTCTAGTTGCTGGAACATCTGTGGGTTACATTAAGGTGTGGGATTTGTCAAGAAGGTAAGAAGTATGTTTTGCAACATACAGTAAAGAATTATAATAATAGATTATGCCAACAATCTATCATGCAAAAAAGCTCGATGAGCAAAATATGTAACTGATATTTAAAGTGGCGTTAGAGTTTGTGAGTTGTGTATGTTTGGTACATAGCCATAGTATTGTTATTAGTGTTTAAGTAGCATACCTTGTATTCCTAGTAGTACTGAAACTTGTAATTAGAGCGGTTTTCAACTGAGTGTCGTAAAACCAAAACCAAAGTAACCACTCTGGCCAATCACAAAAGACACAGACAATCTAGTGAACCAATCAAAGCTCGAAGTAATTACATGGAGCTGATGCGAAGCGTGGGAAACGAGTGCGAGTGAGTTACCATTGGTTTTGGTTTTACTTCTGATTGGATGAAAAAGTGGCGCGAGTTTTTTTAAGCCAATTGGGTAGCGTAATTGATGCAAAACCAATTACTTTTCGACACTCAAATGAAAACCGCTCTAGTGTCCTAAAAAACCATTCAATGAACATATCAATTAAAAAAACATATCGTTCTGCGTGCATTGTTCGCCCATAACCTTCTATCACACCATCACGCTTTCTCAGAGGTATGCACTATAACAAGCATTAGGAAGCTTTACATTAACGGTGACATATTTTTGGATGTATAGGGAAGCTAAACAACACTGCAATCCCAAGTCATTAGAGGAAAGTATAGCAGGGATGGGCAAACTCAAATCTGTCAGATGCAACTGCAATGGAACCAAAGTTAGCATCATGTGTGATAAGGTGAGACAAAGCTTGTAGACCTCTCCGCATCCGAATCTTTTTATCATGCGCTAAACGGAGGAAAGTGTAGGAGAGAATGGCCAAAAGAGATGTGTTGGAGAGCTGTAGATAACGAAACATCACACCTAGGATTTAGTTCCTGAGTCAAAACGGTGACTGCAGCCAGAGACAAAACCACTTTGATAACCTTATTCTCCACACTGATACGTGGGAAAGATGACCCGAAGCTGAGATTTTAAAAATAACAGTTTCTGGGTTGAAAATTTGTAAATATAATACAGTTATTTGTTTTGAACTAAGATTAAAATTCTTCCTTTCTCTAAACGGCAAAACTAGCCAAACAGCAGCTGAAACAGCACTAGCCGTATGTTCCTTGCCAATCACATTTCAGCCTAAAAATGGCAGAAAAATAAGAATATTCAGCCTTGGCTTGAAAACAGTATTCTTATACAAAAAAAGAGTGTAAGAGGCCTGTTCAGCCCATTCAACAGTCACTAATTGCGATTCTCATCTAATGTCCGTTAAGGCCCATTTTATTGCTCCTCTTTAAAAAACTGACCTCCAGTTTTCAAAAGCATGTAGCGAATAGGAGCAGTGCAACCCCTCCGGGATGGGATGTTACCCATTGCAGGACACCCTTATAGTTCTGTTTGGAAACCCCAACAATTCATTGCCACCTATTCTTTTGCAATGCTCATGAGTGGAGAGAATCTTTGCAAGGGTAAAATACCTTGTTCATAGGCCACTGTCTCAACCCCTCACAAACATGATACATTTGTGATTGTCACTATAAAACAAGCAGTATTCACCATATTGTAAATTATATTTTGCTTTACAGGCAAACAACTCTCCAGATAGCAGAATTTATGTCTGGGACATAGAACTTGACGCTTTTCAATCATTTGACTTTGCAATGGGCCTCGGCTTAGGAGCAGATGAGGGCGATAAAGAAAACCCTGATATCATGAACAGAGTACAGCAGGCAGCCGAAATCGCTGGCCGGAGACCTTTGGCGCAGTTTTGGGATCCTACAGAACCGAAGTTGTTAGTCTGCGAGGCTGTACACATTCCAGGAATGTTACAGGAAACTTCAAATAGCAAATCATCCTCGAGGAAACCGGTGAATATGACTGCTGCGGATGCCAGTAGAGAGGTCAGATTACAAATTATTATTAAGAGCTTTTTACATA